TAAATTAATCTTAAATAATAGGCTAAACCTCCTATTAGGAGTTATATACTACTTTATTAACCTTATTAAGGCTTAGTATTATATAATAATACCCTACTACCTATAAATAAATAGGAAGGTAGAAAACTTTAATAGCTTAGTAGGATAAATATTAATAAAATACCTAATAGGGAAACCTATTAGGCTATAGGATAAATACCTTATATAAGCTATATTTACTACTTATATCTAGGAATATATAATCTTAGAATAGAGCCTATACTACCTAGTATATAGAATATAACCTTATATTATAACTAATAATATTACCTTTATAAAAGCTAGGGCTAAAAGAGGCTAGGATAAATAGATATAATAACTTATAGATACCTAATTAAAGGTAAACGAACTACTACTTATCTATACTATTAAAAAATAATAAATCTAAGATATAGCTATTATAAGAATAAGTTTTTAGCTAAGAGACTAGGTCTTAGTATATAATAAAGTAAAGAAGAAGTATAAGAATACTTGGTTTAGGCTATATAAAGTCTTAAAGAGCTATCTACTTAGGATATACGCCTTTAAGGAACTATAAGGATATATTCTAAGAAATCTTATTAATAGTATAAGACTAATAAACGTAAATATAGGTAAAGACCTTAGCCTATAGGCCTTACCTATAGGATAGTCCGCCCTATATAAGGCTAGGGTAAAAATTAATTAGCTAGAGGAGCTATATAAAGTCCCTACTAAAATCGAACCTTTACTACTAATATATATAGACCTTTTAATATTTATAAAGGTTAAATAGAAAGAATTTAAATATATAAGGATATATTAGGAATTTATAAAGAAAGAAGCTATTACTAAGTACCTAATTACTAAGATATAGGTATAGATTTATAGGAAAATATAATAAAAAGGTAGTATAAATATACCTATACTAAGCCTATTAGGTATAAATAAATAGGACTTAAAAGTAAATAACTATAAATCTAAAAATAATACTAATTTAGTAGAATCCTTAAAATAAGAATTAATAGAGGATACTTATTAAGAATCTATCTAAATAAGCTTAGATTAATTAATATACCCTTTACTATTATTATTCTAGTACTATTATCTATAATAAAATAGTCTATAAGGAAATAGACTAGTATAATAGAGTTTATTAGGGCTAATAAAGCTAAGAATAGATATATAAAAGTTATATAGTATTAGAGAAATATTAAATATAATAGAAAAGGGGCCTATTAGGCCCTAAACTAAAAAAGAAAAGAACTAAAACTCTACCCCTATATATAGCTATTAGTTATATACTACTATAAAATCACTTAAGCTTAGTAAATATACCCCTAGAACTCTCTAACTTATTATTATTATTATTATTATTATCTCTTTTTAAGTCTAAATTAACTATACTAACCTTCTTAATAAGGACCTTTTTTATAAAATATATGTTATAATTAACCTATTTATAAACCTCCTTTATCTCCTTATAGGTCTATATAGTTTTGTCCTTATCTTATAAATAGGTAATAGTAGGTACTTTAAGGGGTATATAATATTAATATATATTAAAGTTAGGGTTAAACTTTAGGTTTATATTATTATATATAGGTATAAAGTTATACTCCTTAGCCTTATTAATAGCTATAATAGCCTCCTTTTAGGCCTATTTAGAAAGGCCTAGACTAGTAGTATTACCCTTATACTTTATACTAGGGGTAGTAGAGGCTATAATAGGGGTGGTAGGGCCTATAATAGGACTATTAGGGGCTATATATAACAGGCTAGTACCTAGTCAATATCACATATATATATGTGACCTTCCTTATATCCCCTTTTATTTATATTCGACCCCACTAGCTCCTACTTCTCTCCTTAAGCTTTTAGATAACTATAAATGGCTTAGTTAGTTTAAATTAAGACTAGCTATATCCCTTTATATTCTAAAAGCTTCCTTTTCTATAAAAGATCTAGAAGAGGATAGCCGAATAAGCCTATATATAGACCTGGCAGTGACCCTCCGGGTGGTCCATGACCTTGGACCCTCCGAGGGTCCAGCGACCCGCCAAGACCTAAATTTTGACATAAATATATATAAATCATGGTTTATAAGCATATTATTTCCTAATTAGGATAGGTTATGCATGCATAATTTCCTTGGCGGGTCCAGAATCCGGACTTTGGACCCTCCTTAGCGTCTTGGCGGGTCCAAATGGAGGGTCACTGCCAGGTCTAACTGCTATTACTATCTTAGCCTACTTTACTAGCTATTCCTAGACCCTATATAATCTCTATAGTTTCTAAAACCGACATCCTACCTTTATAGGTAATTCGCTTCCTTATATACTTCTTTTTCTAGACTGTTTATATATTAGCAGCGCGTAATTCCTAATTCTCTTACTATAGGATAGCTATGCTATATATAGCTAAATGAGTACCTTTAATAATCTATATAAATACTTTATCTATAAAAGATAAGTTCTCCTATTATAATTTCTTAATAGAAGAAGCCTATGTTTATATATCTTTTACTATATATAGTATTTTTAGTATAAAATTAAGGCTTAAATTACTACTATAGCTTAAAAAGAGGGGAGGTATATAGATTTGAATATTAAGCTTTAAAATCATATATTTAAGATTAAATAGAATTAAGCTAGCTACTATAAAGTTATTTATAATATTCTATAACTTAAAAGCTATATTCTAAGCCTAAAGATAGGCTATAAAAAAGTTAATTTTATTAATCTAGCTAAACCTAAGCTTTATTTATAAATTAATTAGATCTATATATACCCTCTTTATTATTATAAAATAGCTAATATTAAAAGGCTATAAAATATAAGATAAATTTAAAGGTATATAGATTAGTATAATATTATTTTAAGAGTATATTATATTAAATTTAGCTAAAAGATAGCTATTATAGCTATTAAGGATATGAAGTATAAACTAGCCTTTTCTCTATATAAATATTAATAGAATAAATACTTTTTAAAGCTAGTTAAGACTAATTATATTATTAGTCTACCTATTATTATTAACTTTAAATCTCTAATTAGTTAGTAGTTATATATCCTTAAACTATACCTCTATAAAGACTTTACCTTTAAAGATAATATATAGCAGTAGTACCTACCTACTTATATTTATAGCTTTAATTATAGTAACCTATTTACGATTTCTAGGTTATAAAATAGCTCTCTAACTGATAGTTCTTTTTATTATAACCTTTATAGTAGCTATAAGACTAAGGGTAAAGCTAGTTTTATTAAAATTATAAATATTATAATTAAGAATCCTATACTTTTTAATTATAGATCTTATAAATTTAAACTACAATTAAATAGTACGTTTATCCTTATATAATACTCGCTAGTAGTTATATAATTAGGAGAATCGAGTAGAGAGATTAGGATACTATTAGATAAAGTTTTTAACCTAGTTTTTACTAACTATTTCGGGAAAGGTAGAATCATACGCTTTTAGCAGAATATTAGCTACTTCGCGTACTATATTAGGCCGGGGTCTACTCTATAATTATCTAGAGAGATAATCTATTTATAAAGCGATTTCTCCTTATATTTAGTTAATTTATAGTAGTTTACGCGTGATTCTGCGTAGTATATAATACTATTTAGATACGCTATAAGCGTAGAGCGGGGTACGTTAAAAACCTCCGTAGCTCTTTATATAGAGGTAAATTCTTAGTTCTTAATTGCCTGAATAGCTAATAAGAGTCTACCCTCTTACTCTATGCGTTTTTGAGAGCTTTGGGAGCGAATTGGTGGTATGGTAGGTATTTAAAGAAGGAGGGTTTAATGATGGGTCGGATTTTTGTAGACTTCGGCAGAACCCATTTTAGGTCGGAGTCTCCAACCCAAAACCCAACCCAAAACCTAATAGGTTAAACCCAATAACCCAATAATAACCCATTTAAACCCATTTTTATATAAAAATTCATAAAATTCATAAAATCTAAGTCTTAGCATTTTTAAATATACTTTTTTAATAATATAAAATACTTTTTATATAAATTTGTTTTTGTTTTAAAATTGAGTTACTATACTAGATATATATATATTTAAATCTTTAAATTTTAACTATATAAATTTTTTGTTTATTTTATTTATAATATATTAGGGCCCTAATAGGTTACCTAAAGGGTTTTAGGTTATTAGTTATAACCTAAAACCTATTGTTAGGTCGAAGCAATAGACCCAAAACCCACTTTGGGTTAGGTTAGGTTAGGTTGGGTCCGGGTTAGAATGGGTTGTGCCGAAGTCTAGATTTTTGGTTGGGTGGCCAGCTCGCATGGGAAATACGTTACCTCATACTCGGCTATTCCTGCGCAATTGCCTCTATATTTGGGTTGTCAATAATACCAATACCACCACAGTCGCTAACGAGATCATGTTCACATGACCACGCCAGGTCGATGTCCACGAAGCGTGGCTCCCCGTCTCTCTCTGGGACAACTCGACGAGAGGCTAAGCCAAAAGGAGAGGAGACCGTCTGCCCACCCTCCTCCCTCTTGATTCTCCTCCCGTGACTGTTCGGTCCCTTGGGGCGGCCAAGGAATGGGATATGATTGAGTCCTGGCTTCGGCCTTTGCCTTTTACGAGTGATTTGGGTCCATTTACATAGATAACGGCTAATCCGAGGGCCTCGTGACACGGATGTCGAATGCCCTATTAATAAGCCTTGCCTTCAGATATGGAATGTATACAATCAAGCGGGTAGAGAAGAATTCGGTAGACTTTCGTTTTACAGGCCTTTGCCGAGGACAGATAGGGAAACATTCGTCTGCGATAAGCTTGAAAGGCTTGTACGGCCGTAAGAGCTACTGAGTGCTTACCAATCTGGATTGGTTTTGGACATGACGACTTCAAAATCGCTGTCAGCACTCGAGGCTTGTGGTTTACAAAAGGCGCTGTATGTTCATGCCCCCATCGAGCAAACGGAACACAAAATCGCTAATTCCAAGTCAATCGCTCAATCGCCACAACATGTCTGCAAAAGTCTTTGTGTAAGTGGTCCGTCTCGTGGCAATCAAGTGTGGAAGCGCAAGCCATTTTAATGCGTACTGATCGGCGATAAACTCCGCAGGACGGGGATTACAGGCTATATCGGGGGCCAGACTGTGGTTCATTTAATTCGCAAACTCCCTGATTTGAGCATGACTGCACTCGTCCGCGATGGAGGGCAAGCAGCTGCTGTTAAGGCTGCCTTGCCACAGGTCAAGACAGTTGTTGGTAATCTTGATAGTGTAGATATTCTTGCACGACTGAGCGCGGAATCCGACATTGTACTTCGTACGTATGACCCTTCTTCATCCACCAGGGACCCCGTTAGCTAACAAGTCATGCGGTCAGAATGCGCGTCCGCAGATCATCCTGTTGCCGTCGCCGCCATCATCAAAGGAATAAAGTCGAAGCCCGTAGGGAGTGCCCCAGGCTTTCTCATCCACACCTCCGGCACTGGAATACTAGGAGACCCGGACCAGGATTATGGTGCGCCACCTGACAGGGAGTACGACGATGTCGCTGATATCGAAACCATCACCAATTTCCCGCTAAAACGGTGGCACCGGAACGTTGACAAGCTCGTGCTCGACGCGTCCGCGGGCGATAACCCAGTCGACAACGCTAAGATCAAGACTTGCATCGTTTGCCCCCCAACCATCTATGGAAGGGGCGATGGCCTCATCCGAGCCCGCAGCGTCCAACTTCCGGATCTAGCTAACGCCGCTCTTCGCCGGGGTAGGTCCCTCACTGTCAACAAGGGGGAGAATGAATGGAGAAATGTGCACGTCGCAGACTTAGCCGATGCCTATATTCTCCTCGTTGAAGAAGCTCTCAAGGGTGGTGGCAAGGCAGACTGGAATGCGGAGGGGTATTACTTCGTTGAAAATGGACACCATGCTTGGAAAGACCTAGCGAAGGCTGTAGCTCAGGACGGGCTTAAAAAGGGATATTTTAAGAGCGATAACGTGGATGAACTCTCTGTGGAGGAAACGTTGGACGTGCAGTCAACCCCTCATCCCGGACCCGATATTTGGGGTGTGAATTCGCTGGGAATTGCGAGTCGCATTAGATCTCTGGGTTGGAAGCCTCAGAAACCCTCGATATGGGAGTATGTCTCAGAAGCTGTTGATATAGAAGCTCAAGCCCTAGGGCTTGATAAGTAGGCTAAGAGAAGGAGGACCTGGTCGCTGTCACCTGTTACGTACAACACGCTTCGGCACAGTTACGTTGTGTTTTGCAAACACAGGCCAGTGTCTATCCATACTGCTTTACTGGTAACCTGATTCAGGAGTAGCCTTTACCACACGTTTTCAGTAATTGGGATACGGGACTGCAAATAAAGTTGAAGATCTCATACATAATGATGCTGCTCTGCGTTACCTTAAGATACATGTTGGGAAATCTAGCATGGGCGTATGTCGCTTAAGAATATTCAGGACATATATTTAGTTCAGGTCCAGAGAGACACAAGAGCTGAGTACTGTATATATTCTCATTGAGACAGACGTGGTATTCCTTTCTGATTCTTCCACATTTTGATTTGTACCAACAAGATAGCTTGCATCACCTCAACGACGCGCAGCATACAATATCGCAAGACGCGGAACAGCTCTAGGGAATTCCCAGAAAGAATAGCCCTCTCGTTACGAACGCGCCAAAGATGTCAGACTATATACTTTATATCCCGGTATTTTTCCGTACCTATACATATTCGGAAATGTATTGCTTGTCCGGATAAATTTGACATTGATTGACAGGCAGCCTAACATTCCGCTCCCTCCTTAAGCGTCTGATTTGCAATAGTATCCTGTTTATGCCCATTAAATGTTACGTCAATTGCTCCTTTTGCCAAGATGTCTACTTTCACAGAAGGCGCCAGGCTCCAAAATCGATCTTTAAGAGTGCGCTCCCTAGACAGCACCAAGCCAGGCCGCAAGATATACGGCTCGAAAACATCGCAGTTTGCTTCCGCATGTCTCAGAAGAACATTTTCGACCTCTCCCTACATTTCCATCAGCTGAATGCAAAGGAGACCGGGAACAGAGAAACCTAACTCCGCTTCGCAGAGACCTACCCGAAGACGCCGAAAATTTCCCATAAACCAAAGAGTCTTCTGCTGATCACGTTCCACACCGCCGCCACTGAAGTACACAAAGCGGAACCGGTCTCCGGATGCGGGCGAAAAATGAGGACCAGAAACAAATGCGTTCTGAAATGCCGACGCTGCAGCAACCATATAATCGACAGAAACACGGCGAGAATGATCGTCATTCGACGCTTGCGAAGGCCTTAGACCTAGCGCCCAAATAAAAGCTCTTGCGCCTTTAAGTCGTTCAATCAACGCGGCGTCTGAGTAGCAGAGATAGTCTTCGTCCTTCATGATATAGACGTAAAGCTTGCTATTGGAGATGTCAACTTTGCGGCGGGACAAAGCAACAATAGAAGTTATGCCCGGGTTAGCTAGGCATTGTGAGAGAACTTCCGTGCCAATATACCCTGTTACACCAGCAAGGATAATTTTCATGTTTGATGGCTGGTGATGTTTTGCAGATGGACTTGTTCGGACGATGACTTGTGGTTTCCGGGGGGTTCCGGTATTGTGGGCTGGGTCCATGCTTCCCTATATAATTACCACCAATCTTATGGAGAGACCGTTCATTGCTGAGGCATTCGTCTCTACGCTGGCCCATTTGCCCCACATGGAATCATCTGTCATCTGCTTTTTGTTTGGAACGGCCGTAAGCGCTTGATGAAATCTTCGTTTTTCTAGGATAAACTTGAAAAGGAAACATACTATGCACCGTAGAGACTCTCTTGGTATTGGCCTGACAGTCAGACTAATGAAAGTTGAACCCGTATATCATCGGATTACTCCATCATGATGACGTGTCTTACTCAAAAATGAATTATCTATGTATCGTACGTTAGGGTCAACTAATGTTACAGGTGCTCGTTTGGATAGACCAGCGTCTGTCGAAACCAGACGCTTCAGCACAATAGCCACTTGTACGCTATTACTTTCAAGTAATTGCCTGTTCCGCAATTACCCCCTTCGACCAGTCAGCAACACGTAACACTTCTGGTTGTCGAACACAAGTACGCTTTTAATCTGAAGAAGGCGCAACACTTGGCGTGTTGCCACGACGCGAATCCCACCAAACCTCGCGCGGTCGAAGCGATTCTTCCATCCAATCTTGTATACTTATACCTTGCCCCTTAAATAGCCTCTTCTTGCCTCATTCCAGCGCAACCATAGCTGCGCCGCCTCCTTTCAATCCATTTGGCAAATGTTGCCGAATGAGACCTGGTTCCTGAGCCGGCTACTTGGCAGTAGATTTCGTTATTCATCGTCTCATCATAGAAATTGTAGAGGATCATGACAATACTTGCAGGAGAGAATGTGGTAACTACTGTATGCTGCCCCTTTACTTGTGGGGGCTACATACTCGTTCTCCACATTACATGTGACACGTCATCTACTACGATGCAGCCCTCTTGTAGCCTAAAGGTATTTTGGCATTGTGAATGCGAATGGCGCTACTGACTACATTTATATCACTTGGTCGAGTGTATTTTTTCACAGATGAGGGATGTACATATCCCCCGAAAACGGCGCATTCCGGAACCAATGCATTGAACAGGCCGGATACTGATCATACTAATCTGAAAATTCCAGGTGAGGGGAGCCGGCTATCTTTTAGCGATGTATTCCTCTCTACAGCGGAGTGCGTATGTCCAATTCCACGCCTAAGCTAAGAAAGTTCGTGATATAGGTTCAATCATTGCGTTGGTTAGTCTGCTACGGCCGGTAGAAGCTGAGAACCAGTTGAGCATACAAATAGCTCTACTCTTGCTGCTGCCTCCAATCTAGGCCTTGTTTCAGTTGTCAGGTTCATTTAACTAAGTTGTAGTGACCAACACGTATGTGGCTCGGTCTGAACCGACGCGGGCATCGAATCCGTTGACCTGTGATCTCTTTCCATGAGTGCTGTCAAGCGCTCCTCCACTCAATCTCCAAGACTTATAACACCAGCACCAACAAGGCAATCGTCGTGCCCGCCGAGAAAGCTGCATGCGGCGAGGCTGTGCACGCAAACTATATCAGCCTCGGCCTCTAGCATCTACTATTAGACCTCGCAGACAGTTCTGACAGACTTCATGCAAGAGTCTCGCAGCTCGTCATCCGCGACGGCGACAGCACGCGCCAGGTCATGTCTTCTCACGTACGCAACTCGCATTCCTGTGTATCTGTCCAGCTGATTTTTCCATGGCTGATGATAGATCGTCTCCTCAGAATGCTACACGTAATGTACTGTGCTAGGTTCATCAGCAGGCCTTATCTCTGCAGGAGGTCCTTAGAGCCCTTGTACTTCAAATGGAGGAATGGCTAGTGTGTCTGTAACTTGAGTTTCCTTGTATAAGAAACTTTGCCTTATATTGGTGAAGGTTTGAGGAGTTGCAACGTGTACAGTTGACTCCTAAGTATTTTGGCAGTCACGGAGAAAATATCGCCGCCCGGCAGCCGTCCATGTCACGTAGAGGTTTGCGGAACTTAAACGAGTATTGAGGAAGCGCGTTGTACTGATTCCCTGATTTACTAAGAATCATTTATACGATATCAAAACTGAATCGATTATTACCGTATACAAGTGCAGGCATTATTTCCCCATCTGCGGCATTGACCCTGGGCGGCAAGCGTCTCACACTACAAGAAGTTATCATGTATGTCGGTGATTATTGCTGCGCTCATTTTGTCCCCACAAGCTCTGTAAGCCCAAAGTCTCGCCTTTGGACTAAGCCTATCGAGTAAGCTATTTCTGGCGCTTTGAATAGAGATTTCCCACCATAGCTCCCCCAGCAAGGCCGCTCAATCGCCCGGTCAACGCAAATCCAAGCAGGCCACCCCCAATCGTGCCTTTCACATTGCTTGATTTACGATTTTTCCTGCCTCCCGAATGCGGGCTGTAGTGGTCGTGTTGGCGAAAGTCAGCTGCAGGTGATGCTTGCTCCATTTGTTGAGGTGCGCTAATAAGAGACACAGGCTGCTGATAGTGCCTGTTGTGGTCCGGCAGAGTCTCTGCGCGCGTGGTGAATGGATTCCCATGCATCATTTGAGCACCGGCAGGATCAAAGACTCGATTAATTCCAGGCCGTTCTTCTTCTCTGTTGCTACTCGCAAGAGCCATGAACTGAGTCGAGTGAGTTGTAAATGGGTTGTTTTTTTCCTACCCCTCTCATCACATTAGAGCAATCTCCGAGATAGATATGTACCGGCATAGAATCTCACTTTTTTGTAGGGTGGGGGACAAAGATCCGGAAAGGATTCGCCTTCCCGTAACGCTTGCGTTCTTTTCTCCATATCCGAGCTGTTACGCGACAGGGTATAATTCTGCTCTAGTTTCGGTCTTTGTCCACGAGGTCAACAAGCTTTAGAATAGGAAGTGCGAAACTGTCAGCTTCAGGAAACAGTCTGTCGAGAAGAAGATCTGCTTGTCTGGTCGTACCTGGTAAGAGACTATTTACAAATGATATGTCTTTTATCCCTACGGCCGTACGGGGTTTTCGGGGGTTATACGGCCGTAGTCTCAACCCCACCAACAACAAAGCCAAACCTATAGGCCGGTGCGCATGCCAGGATAGAAATTCACCTAAGTGGGGTGGACAATAGGGAAGTGTCTTTAGTACTGTACGCCCCAGCTGCACATATTTCTTGCCTTTTTCCTGCGTTCGGTTTACCCAGTCGACTTCGCGATACGGGTGCGCTGCAGCGGACCCAGCTTTTTCATCGGATACGAGATATCGTGACAATTAGACCATTCACGACATCCACAGGAATTGTCAATATGTATAAGGGATCAAATATATAGAGAATCGGATGTCCAAGTATCTCTAAGTGCCAGGTTCGTCCATGAAGATTCTTCGTGAACAAACTTTATCTATCTTCAAGCAAGAGAGAAATTTTGAAAATATACTTTGTACAAAGGACCTAAATATTGCCGCAAATTTACGAAAACAAAGTTGACATGAATTATTCAGAAATAATATATTTAAGAGGACTATAAATAGTTGATTTATGTTACAAAGTGATTTGAATGGGAATTTATCGGTCGCTACTGACAGATGGTCGATTTCTGGAATAGTTGGGAAAGATAGTTGTTCCAGCGTCCTCAGACATTTCGAACCCTATGTACCTACATTCAATGCGGGTTAACCGGCAAAATCTTGGAACGACGGCGTCCTTGATCAAAGAGTTCTATGACTTCCGTGGTAAGCATGGTGGGAAGCATGGTGGGTGCACGACTTCCCGGGGAGCATGAGTAATTTCAGCTCTCGTACCGCACCTCCCACAAGTCCTTTTCTGCTCGCTTGCTGAAACTCCTCGATGACACTTTTTATCTTGGTCCCTAGGTAGGTGCAAACAAGACTCTACTCCAGACCGACTCCCTGCAATTTCGGCAATACCATCGCATCTCATCCTCGGCCCCGGGAAGACGCGGCTGCTCCATGACAGTTCCGACAGTATTATCAAAACGCACGGGGCAGTGTGGGGTCTTAGCAAGGACAAGAAACAGTGATCCCTCGTGCATGGGAAATATCGTTGAGAGCGGGAGGCGTACAGTCTTCGAGACGACAGAGCCTTTACATTTCTAGAAGAATACTGGTGTTGAGTCGTTATGGCAGTCAGTTCGGTTATTGGGCCCGCCCAGAATGTGAATATGGGTGGTAGACGCAGTAGTTATTCACTTGGGGCTGCAGGAGGTGGGCGTTGTCTTCATGCCTGAAGCGACTGAAGCGACGGTTAATGATAGTTCCATGTTCAATAGATAAGAGCATGGCTCATCTACCATGTGGGAAAATTGAAAGCTATTGGCACCACCCTCAATATTGTCAGTTGCGTTAACCCCGGTAACTCCGTTCAAGATTGTGGTTAAAGTCTCAGATCGTACAACTTTACATCTCTGGAGGCCGTTTATATTAAAAAACCCAGCACGGACGCAGTCTGATCGCGCTAACATTATGAGACCATCTACCCGTTACCCGGGGTCCCAATGAGTATCGCACCTCCCTTCCAAATCCGTAGTCCATGGCAGCACCGAATTTCCCTTTGACTACGGAACCTTCCAGACGTAGAGAATGTATTAATATGAAAAGGGTTGCCCCCTAGGTGGGTAAGGACCGGCGGACGGATCGTACTACAGGTTGTACCCTGCTGAGGCTGCGATGACTGAGATTTACCAGAGTGTGGGCAAGGTTTCTGTGACTATTGCGTTATTCTGGATAGTGTTGGGGCAAAGGAAGGAAGAATGCTAGTGATCCTGGTTGGAAAAGAATAGCCTTCAAGCAAGCGAGGGGTGCCAGGGTTGACAATATTGGCGTCTCTGGAACCTCGCGCCCAGACAATCCTTTATCAACGCTTCCTGTTATTGCCAGGCTTGAATCTGGAAGAGTACCTACTAATCATACTCTCAAGAATGAATAGCGATTCACTCCGCAGTGAGGAGTCAGGTCCTATAAGACGCATGG